AGGAAGCCTATAATTTTTAACTCAAGCAATAGTTGTCATGCACGTGTATGCCCTGCTACAGGGGGGAAAAAAAAAATCAATCTATATTTCCCATAAGTGTACAACAATAAATTTTTCCTCACTACTGTCTCAATAGTAAAAGAAAACCATTGCCATCTGTTTTCATCTCATGTACAAGGCTGAACAACAAAGGCAAAATTAAAAATTGAAAAGCTTGAAGACTTTTTTTTTTGCATATCAAATGATTTTAGGTCTGCCACTAGCAACTGCTGGCTGAAAACTAAAGTAGGGCTTTTGATACCATACTTGATTATATAAAGCAGTGTTACAGATGCCAAAATAATTAGAATGCACTCAAGGTTTATATTCAAGATAAAAATAACTGCTCATTTATTTGTATAAGTAAGATGTAGCTGATGGGGGGAAAAATTAAATTAGCTTTAAAAATTATTTCAGTTATCCAAATTACTAGAAAAATTATGTTTATTACTATTTGTTCTGGTTGCTTTAAAGGCTTGACTTGTTCTCTGCTTTGAGAGGCAAGAATTTCCTTGTCTACCCTCTGCCCAGACCCTAAGACAGCAGCATTTTATGTAAAACCACTGTTTGCAGAACACTGAATGCATAAGCAATTCCAACCCGTGGAAGCAGTTGGTCCTCACAGTACCAAGAGGGCTCTCCTGCAGGCTTATTCTACAGCTGCCATCCACTCCCAGTTGCTCAAGAGAAACTTGCATTTCCTCATATAGCGATCCACGAGCCCATCCCAGCCTGCTGAATACCATCAGTTTTTTGCACACACCTAACAGCTTCTTGTTTGTTCAAAAGCCTGCAGCCCCCACGCACTTCATGCCCACAACAGCCTTATTTCATTTTTTCATGGGATTTCTCCTGCTTCATTTCCGGGATTTTTTTTTTTTCTTCATTCAAAGGGCAGATAATGCCTGCAATTACTGTTTTATTTCCATTAAGAACAACAAAAAGAGCCAGCACTTAAGCTCATATCCAGCCATCTTGCTCTCTCTTCAGCCCAAATGACAGCACTGAGACCAAAACAGGCAACATTTTAATGACAGCAGTCTAAGAGATGTCCTATAACACTCAAAAAATCCCAAAGCTACTGACCACGTTACTTGACTTTTTGGGCTTCCTCTAGGATATTTTTCTTTTTAAATCATACAATATCACACCACGAAGGCTACAAAATCTAAATCAAACTGGCCAACACAGAAGTGTTGCATGTGGAAGCACCTGAAGAAACAGGAAGGGAGGACTTTCACAGTGGTGCATCTGAACAACCATCAATCATTTCAGGTACATACTTTCAGCTGCAATACCAGCTCTCAAGACAAAGCAGAAGCTTTTGACAGGTTGCAGGACTGCAGGCAAGACCAGTTTCCAGCCTGTAACACTCAAGAGAACTGACTCAACAATTTTAAGTCTAGAAGGAAAGACTGTTGGTAAGACTAATTAGACAGGGTGTGGTAGCCAAAGAGTAGGAGTTCAGTGGCTGTATTTAAAACTGTAGGAACCACCAGACTGAATTTTGCCTAAGCAGTATTCTACAGCCCACCTACGTTTCAAATTAAGAAATAAAGAAGCAAACAGAAAACAAATATAAATAGATGCATAGATATATAATAATAACAAAATAAATAGATGTACAATGGACTGTAAAAGATGGGTTTGGTCAAACTCATGCTTTGCTACCACAGTTTTTCAATTGACATGTTACTTTACTGTCCACGAAACTCAGCAGTAACACCAGCGTCAGCAAAGATAGAAAGGTAGCATAAGAAGTGCAGTATGGTTAGAAAATGGACCAAGAAGCCATAACAAGCAGATTTTGATAGATGAACAAGAGACATTAAATGTTTTAGTAACTTGCCCAATTTTTGTCAATGAGCATAAAAAGCTGTTACTGAAAATGTGGGTCTCTAAATTGAGAGGCAGTACCTGTAAGTCATGATATCAACAGAGGATATCATGCTGAAGTTACAAAAGAAGGAACACATTCAGTTAAGAACAACATACTGTGAATTTCTGATGCAAGTTGAGAATTCACAAAGTGGGAACAAGTTATTTAGATATCCCCAGTAGGCACAAGATGACTACATGACAGCTTTACTATCATGACAAAGATGGGTCCTATTACAATTTTTTTTCTGCTATAGCTAGAGAAGTATTAGTAACCTTTTACACAATACAGTGACATCCCATCCAAAGTGACCACAAGTGTTGCCCACATTAAAAGATACGTTTTTCAAACTGAAGGAGATGCAACACCTACCATGATTATCAAAAGAGAAAACTTGTTTTAAGATAAAAGTTTTTAAGACTTCAAGTTCATAAAAAATGCTAAGAAAGGAATGACTCCTGTCTACAGATATGTCAGAAAGCTAAGTGCAAGAAAGGAGGAAAAGAAGCTAAAGCATAGGCACAACTGGATACAGACTGGCCTTTCAGCCAGTCAGAATGGAAGTAGAAAGACAGGTTAATTCTAGGATTTGTATCAGAAGATTGCTGTAGATACTCATTCCTCCAGAGAGAAACTAATCAGCTGAAAAGTAGAACAAGAGCTACTGAGTCTTGCAGACAGTATCTCTAGTTAAAAAAAAAAAACACAACAAAAAACAAAAAACAAAACAAAAAAAAAACTTGGGATTTGCATTTCTTGATTTTAGGACTCTTAAAAAGAAATATATTGCTAAAATTTGCTTTCAGTCGTCTGTTCTATTTTCTCTCGTCTACTGTCAAGCAACTATTTGCTTATGGAGTAGTAATCCTTTAAGTCAAAACAACTACAAAATCCATTGCCCTGTGGTTCTTCTCCTCTCCAGCCCCCAACAGCTTCTGCAGCAGTCTCCTGTTCCCCTCTTGTCCCAGTCACACCCAGGTACCACATCTGTGTTCCTTCACACTGGAAGTCACCCTGCACTTTAAGACCCTGGAGATGCAGGTCAGATAAAAATCAGTGGTATAATCTCTAGAGATGTAGAAAGGAAACACTGAAGACGCTTACACTGAGTTTGAGGTACACCTACACAGAAACTTACTAGGACAACAGTGTTAAAGAACATAGAAGCAAGCCTTATCCAGCCAATATGGGGAACATGGCTGGTGATTCAAGTTAATCACAAACAGCAGTCAGGCATCAAACTTCTAAGGAATAGATTCTGTACTGATACAGATGAAGCTAGCAATTGGGAAACAGCTACTAAGCAAGTTCAAGCTGTTGTCACTGCTTGTTTGGAAATAACTCGTCAGAAAGCAGTTTGAACTGTTTCTACACACTTAATCTATGTCCTAAATCTGACTTGGTGTTATCCCATTTAGTTCACCCTTGAGTGTGTCTACTTGCATGATGCCAAAGCCCAGCCTCAGGCCAGCCATCCATGTACTCCATCAGCAATACCATAAAGGACTCTAATCCAGTAAGTGTCAGCACCCACTCTTACAGCCCAGCAAAGCTGCTGCTATCATCCTTAGCCTCAGAGATGGTATTACACACAACAGTATTTAAAAGCAGCCAGTGATCTCATGTGGATGCAAGACTGAAAGAGAATAAACATGAAGTTGCATCAGGAAATGAAGAATGAATGGAAATTACTGACAAAAGTGACCTCAACAATGAATTTACAACTTCAGTTGGTGCAAGAAAGCTGTTACAGTGGCTGAGGTGTTTGAACTCCAAATAAGTCTGGGCTGGAGCAGCATCCAAAAATAAATACTAAAGTCACATAAATGGGGAAGCATGCTGGAGTGTCAGAAACCAAAGTAAAGCTAGACCAATAGCAAAACCTTGCAAGATTCCTGCTGAGGGCCTTTCTCCCTTATAATATTAGAAAAAATTGATCAGCATGGTCTCGAGGCTGTATGTATACCACACAGGGAATGGCATATACTAGAACAGATTTTTTGCCTAAACCCAAGTGTTCGTATTTTGAGATCAGGCCTCTCCCTACTGCATTACATTGCTTAGTAGATGTTTAAGCAAGACATTTGCCGTATTGGCAGCTTGGGGAGGACACCAGTATCTTCTGGCACATAGATAAAGGGGAGGAAAAAGAGCCCAAACCCTAACCTTTGTAGTTATTTCAATAGCTACTAAACAAGAAAATGAAAACAGAAATCAGAAAATGGTATGCTTCCAGCCTGAGACACATCTACAAACGAATTGTGCAACGAAACCATCATCCGAGTTCCCAGATAACGGGCAGTGCCATTGACCTTGGCTCGGAACACGGGGCAACTTTGTTGCCACCACCCCATTCTGCTGCAACATAAAATCCCGGGCAAGCGCTACCTACAACCAAACACGCAACACCACCCCTCCGACTCCCGAGCATCTTGACAAAATATTTCCAAGCCCTATTTTACTCTCTTGGTGGGAAAACAGAGTTTTCCAAGCACAAGCTTTTTTATTACCCTACCCTATTCGGGCCAGAGGGCTCGCCTTCAGGGTGACACACCAACCCTGCCCCCCACACGCCATTATACATTAACCGGTGTTCCGCGCGTTGCGGGCACACAAAGGATAACCCTGAAGTTCCAGTCAGCGTCGTGTCGTGCCGTGTGTCGTGTCCCGTCCCGTCCCGTCCCGGGAGCTGCCCCTCCCTCCTTGCTCTCCCTCTCCGCCGAGGGGCGCCGGGGCCGCGCACGTGGGTGCGCCCCGCCGCCCCAAGATGGTGGGCGAGAGGCGCGCCCGCCCCGCCCCCGGCACGGCACGGACCGGACCGCGCGGCGACCGCCCGCCGCCGGCCCCGGCCGGCAGGGACCCGCACGGCCCCGGCGTGTCGCCCCCTTGCCCGCCTCGGGGCGGAGGGAGCCTCGGCATGACCGTGTGCGCAGGGGGTGTCCCCCGGTGGGCGCCCGCGCCCCCCGGACAGACAAAGGGACGCGGCCCCGGTGGGTCCGGCCGATGGCGGCGGAACGGGAGCCTGGCCCGCGCCGGGTGCGGCGCCCCCCGCCCCACGTGCGCGGCGGCTCGGCAGGCTCACCTCGTCCTCCCGCTCGCTGCGGAAGCACAGGCACGCCGCCCGCTTCTTGTAGCCCTCCCGGTCGTATGTCCGCGTCTGGTTCGGCTTGAATTTCATCATAGAGGCGGTGACACGCCGGCTGCCCCCGGCCGCCGCTGCCGCCGCCACGGCTCCTCTCTGCGAGCGCCGCCGCCGCCGCGCCCCCGGGACACCGGCGCGGGCCCCCCGCTCGGGAGCGGGGCAGGAGGCAGGCCAGTCCCAGCTGCCAAGCTGCTGTCACAACAGCGCCGCGCCGCCGCCGCCACCGACGCCGCTGCTGGCACTGCCGCCGCCCCGGGAGCCGCGCCGCGCCATGGAGGCTCCCCCGGCGCCCGGAGTTGCTGCCGCCGCCGCCCGCCCGCGGCGGCCACCCCTGCGCCCCCACTATTTAACCGGAACGCGCATTCCTGCGCCCGCCGCGCCGCTCCGCGCAGGCGCCGGGCGGGGCCGGCGGCGGGAGGGGCGGGAGGCGAGGCCCGGTCGCGGGCAGCGTTCCGTCAGCGGCGGGTCCTGTGGGGAGAGTGCCGTGTGGGGACCGGGGGCGGCGGGCGGCACCGCCGCGGCCGCTGGGCCCGTGCCCGGTGCGGCTCCCCGGGAGCGGGGTGATGCGGTCTGTGCCGGCAGCCGCCGTGGCACCAAGCCCGGCGTAGGTGTGCTTTCCCTGCGCGGTACAGCGGGGATGCACGTGGCTCAAGTGCCGTAATAGGAGTGTAGCTTTGGCAGTGTAAGTTAAATCCTTTTTTGAAGTAACGCGTTTTTAGAAGTTAGGGTGTATGCAGGCTGGGAAAGCAGGCAGCTCATGCCTTTTTTTTTTTTTGGTTTTGTTTGTATAATACTGTTTGGGAGCTAAGGATAGACAAAAGGCCTTCCCACTGCTGCCAGCAAGCCAGGAAAAGGTCTGCTGTCCTCATACCTTTATTATCATCTGGCACGCTGAAAGCCCTAGTGTTTTTATTGTCTTTAAAAAAAAAAAAAAAAGCCCACGAAACCCAATCCAAAAGCAAAACAAGGAAATGCTACTCTTTTCAATGCCCCCAGATTTCTGTCAACTGCAAGTAGCCGTCAACAAATTTAGTGCTTGTGCATGAAAGATTGCTCAGTTGTGTTGGCAGATGTAAGGTAGTATGTCCTTACTGTAGTGATGTGTGGTTGTAGAAATCACCTACCCAAACTGTATCATAAACTTTTTCCTTCATCTGAATCTTACTGGTGTTTAGCAGGCTCTTGTGCTTTTAACTGAACCAGTGTGTTTTAAACTTCTATCTTACTTGTTGTTTATTTCATCCCAAGATTATTTTTTGACAGTTTTTTGATCAATAATAAGTCAGACCTTTTATATGCTGTTTGTGGCTTGCATTGAAGGGAGATATGTTCATCATCATTGGTTGCTCTGATTCTTAGTGAAATTTGGACCTTCTGTTCTTCAGTACATGAACTAAATGTGATAACTCACTCCAATGTCACACTTAAAAACCATAGAAGTTGAAGAAAGGAAAACACAATTTTTTTGAGTTACATTATTTTGGGTGAAGTTATATTAAGCTGTAAAGTCAAACATCCAAAGATTAGGAAACTCCATTTTTAATTTTCTTTTTACACATTAATCACTGAAGGCCCCTGCTACTTTTTCCACTTTGCAAATGGACTGGCAGATAAGATTTCTTTGTTTTCTCCTCATTCAGTGCAGATCCAGGTCTCGTTCATTACTACTTGTCATGAGTCAATCCTCAAGCTACATATGATTTAATGGACCTATCCAGTCAGAATAAATTTATTTATTTGTTTGTTGTTGTAAGGGAAGAACCAATATCTAATAAGTGTCTGAAATTTTTAGTTCAGAGTTTATAGCATTGATATCGGAAAACTTTGAGAATGCTCAGGAATGGTTTTGATGCTTGATTCATAAATTCATCCATGATACAGAAAAGGGGATGTGGTATGGTTTGCTGTATTCCCATGTTGTTTAAAAGACACATCGTTATAAACAGTAAATATCGTTCATCAAATGCATATAGCAAAAAAAGTCTGACTTTCTATAACAGGCCATGATAGAACTCATTTTGCTTTGGATTATTCCTTGAGCTTACTGTTTCAGGGTTTACCTTTTAAGACAAACCAGTTTTAAGTCTTCAATATAGATCTTTCTGAATTATTTTTTTTTGCTGTTGTTATGTTTTGTTTTGTTCATTTGGGAGGCTTTACCTCTTATGCAATTGGAGTAAGTTCAAAAGTAGGATTTATACTTAACGAGAGCAGTGTCCAAAGATCAGATGACGTTAGGCCCCGTTTTCCATTTCTGTACAACTCACCGCTCCCACCCCCCAAAACCAAACAAAACATTTGACTGCCAAATCAGAACACAACACACAAGTATGTCTGTTGTGAAACTCAATGGTTTCTTCGTCCATGTATCTCAGAGGTAAGAGCCGGAAGATGGAGCTTTGTGAGGCAGGCCAGTCCATAGGCTGGCTTTAATTACAGCTTCTATCCACATATCCTCAAACACAATTACAATCCAATGGCTTGTAAATTCATTGGGGCCCTCTTTGTTTTTGTGAAAGCCCCAACTTCTGCCTATATGCTTATAGGCTTATAGGCTTTTATTTAACAAAGCAGAAGAAACAGAACTTTGTGAATATGGGAAAACACTAAAAAAATAACGATAGATGAATCCTAGAAAATGAAATTTTAGGACCTTTTGAATTTTGGACTTTGAGGGATTTTGTTTTGAAAGATGCAGCCTTTTTTTTCTTTTTTGGGAGAGAGAAGTTGAGATCCCTTGTGCCATGAATTAATCTTAAATGCCTGAAATTGTTTTGGTTTTTTTGTTTGGAGGTATGATTCTTAAACAGTCCTTGGTTTTTAGAATCATCAGGAGGCTTGGATCTTCAAGGTTTTTGTATTTTTCAAAATTATTGTTGTCTTGTAGGTTTAAGTTATGTGGTCTGTGTATACACTAAAGTCAGCATTAACTGTGTGAAACAGTCAACTAGTAAGTGAATAATATTTACAATGCTATCAGATACTTGTATTCATAATAGTTCTGTAATGACGGATTGCTTTGTATGTTGTTAATGCAATGTATGAATACTGGGTATCAGATTATGATTGCATGGGATATATTACTGAAAGGAACTGCTCCAGTGTGGTACCAAAGTTCTATTCAGAGATATTTTTTTGTTGGGTTTTTTTTTGGTTTTGTGCTTTTGTTTGGGGTTTTTTTGGGCTTTTTTAAGAGTGTCTCTGGATTTTGAATTTTAGCTGTAGTAATTGTGAAGTAACTGATGATACCTTGAATACAAGTGTGAACTGGAGCGAGCTGAGTGTACAATGCAGGATGGAAAGATACTTTAAGAAAGTTCAAAAACCTCTACATTCAGGCAAAAATAGCTTTCTACCTAGTTACACTTTGAAGTGAAGTCTGCTTAAGTGCGAGAGAACAATTTTCTTTTCCTTGAGAAGAAAGAAACAGGTTTAAAAATTTACAGAGTAATTAGATTTTCCAGTTCCCTTGACCTACATTTATTGCGGAGATTAGAAACTGCAGTGTTCAATAACTATGTTCTGGCAAGTTTTATGTGACTTTCTTTTCCACTTGTAGTTTATGATGGCTTATAAAAAAGAAATATTTGCTTTGGAGGTACTCTCAGTCCTCTACTTAACATTTGCTCTGAAGAGGAATGGATATTTAAGGTTTTTTCTCACCTCTGCAAATAGCACATCAAATTAATTACTTTATATTAGGAAAACTAGTGTCTCTGGTTACAATTATTCTAGGTGATCATTTGTTCTGTCACAGTTATAACATTTCTTTGATATTCAACAGCTAAACCAGGACAAAAATCCAAAAGTGAACAGTGTCTTGAGAATGGATCCCTCTAGTGCTGCATAGGGTGGGCTTTTGGAACAGTAGATCCTCATTCAGCTCCATTGTAGCTGGGTGAAAGGCTGCCTGCAGCTGTAGGCTCAGTCATCATTTCAGCAGAATTTGCAGTAACTGTAGTGTTTTGGTTGGAAAGGTTAACATGACAACCAGCCTGGTTAGCACCTTTCCCAAACCTAGAAAAAAATCTTAAACATATTTGAATATAAGAACATTTGGTTTAGAGAACGGGTTCGCTAAATTTGCCAGGTTAATTCTTATTTAAAGTGATTTACTACCCAAGGGACTAGTGATTCTTCTGAGATTTTATATTATTTGGCAGGAAAAATATTACTCTAAGTAAGTATGCAAGTGAGAACAGTGCCGAGCTAACTTCCCTGCAGACTTAAAATATCATCTTTCTAATGATTTAGCAGTTATGAAAGTGCCAGCATTACTTTAAGTGCCAAAAAATTACGCAAAAGGCTTGACAACTCATACATGCATTCTCTTCTGGTAAACACTGAACAGGGAGAACTTTAAAAATTGGAACACTTACATATTACTAAATTGTACTTCTATGTAAAGGAGCTTTTATAAAGAAAGTCCCACATTGTCTTTTCCCTTAGAGCCACATCGTCACCTGAATCTTTTGTAAGCTGCGCTTTGAAGAGAATACTTGTGCGTGCTCAGTGCGATAGGGTTGCATTCACCATCCACAGGGCTCCCGAATTTTCTTGTGAATCTAGAGCACTGCTACGGCTGCCAACAAGTACCTTTTCCTTTGGTTTATTATCATTGAACAACATGTATGATCCATATGCAATTACACTATTACTGTCTGCCAATCCAGCTTTATAATCTTGACTTTTATCAAAAGTAAATTCAGCGTTGCTTTGATGTCTGGTAAAAGAGACCCTGCCAGTAAAGATAGGGTTTAGTAACAAATGCTTATAGAAGGGGATAAATAATAATCACCTGTTAATGAAAAGGGAGAATCAATTAAATACAGCTGTGTTCATTTGAAACTAGACATCTGAGCATGTTTATTTTTATATATTAAGAGAATTGCATGATTTTTTGGGTGATTTTTGTGTTTAGTGAATTGTGATTGGTTTGGATTTGCTTAAAATTTAACTTCTTTTAGCAAGATAGAAAAAGTAGTACTTTACATAACTGTTGAGCATATAATATTTGGCTTCTACAATAAAGCTATATTGATGATACGCAACTTCATCTAAAGTACCTGAAAATTTTTTTCAACTAATGCAAAATTCTTTTATCTCTGTCATAGAGGCAACATAAAACCCAAAGGATTTATCCAGACTTTATGAAATAAGTATGAATTAAGATCATTGTTGTGTATTTCAGATTTTCTGTTACATTATGTAACCTTAAATTTAAGTTTAAGCTTCTAAGCCTCTAGAGTAGGGCTTTGTTAATGGGATCCCCTGTTGTTTAGTTTTATATTC